CGCCCACTGGCTGTGGACTGCCATACCTGCATGAGCACCGCTCCGATGGTGGCTCTCCCCATGCCGAACTGGTTGCCGACAGATCAGTAGCTATCCGTCACGGAGAGCTTCCATAGGGCGATGGCCACCCATGTGTGGAGAGGAATGGTGGGCCTCATGCATGTGTCCCATTGCTGCAAAGCAGGGGCGAGCCACTCGCAGAGCTCGAGGAAGGTGTCCTTCTTCATCCTGAAGTTCTGGGTCCACTCTTGGTCTCCCCAGCACTCCATTACAATGTGGTCCCACCAGTTGCTGCTGATGTCCAGACGCCAGATGTAGTGGGGCATGCTGGCATCCGGGTGCCGCTTCTCCAGAGCCCCCAGCATGTGTAGGGGGAGGGCCAGCGGGCTGGCCTGCAGCAAAAGGTGCCAGGAAGCCTCCAGCAATTGCTGCCAGGATTGCAGCAAGATGTTCAACATGAGCACCAGAGTGCCCAGGGGCGGCTCTGGCTCCATGGTGCCGAGTGCTGTGGTGTCCCAAATGAGAGCGACCAGATCAGGAGGAGAGGAAAACGCTTTGCTGTCCCTCGGCGAGGTAGGCAAACAAGCGGGAAAGCTGAGAACCGGCTGTCCAGGGGGGTCCCTTTAAGCACGAGCCTCAGATAGCCTCAGACAGCAGCCACACAAAGCAACTACTGACCTGATGCCCTGCTGGAACCAGTTTCAGCTGCCCTTAAATGTGATCCAGCATCCAATCAGTATGGATGCACTATTTCGAAGTAGCAAAATGCTATTTCGAATTAGATTTTGTGCCTAGATGTGTTATTTCAAATTAGCTTCTTTCAAATTAACTAATTAGCTTATTTCGAAATAAGTTAATTCAAAATAGCGCTGTAGTGTAGACGTACCCAAAGGGAGGAACAAGAAGAAGCTGTGTGTGAGCTGAGAGCTGGTTAACGGGTACTACAGCGAGATATTTTAGGGGCCTGGGCTGGAACCCAGAGTAACGGGAGGCACTGGGTTCCCCCAAACCTTCTCCCTTGCAAACACTGAGCCTTTCTCAAGAAGGCAGATCAGGACTACCAAGATGTTTTCACCCCAAAACCATGGACTAGCCTGCGATGTGTATGGACTACTAAACTGCAGATCCTGAGTCCCGTAGAGAGAAATGAGTGGTGTATAGAGCCACAGCTAATTTCTGAGGCTAATATTATCTGCTGGTAACGTGAAACCCATGGGTCACATCCAGAACTTTGCCACTAATAATCCAAACTCCCTAACAAGTCACCGTGGAGATCAGCTTCAGCTCCATTACATGTCATCAGTGTAGTATTCCTGAGAACCTTGTAAGCTTTAGTCTATTCATTGTCACGACTTCTATCACAGGGAAAGTAAACGTCTTGATTAGGTTGCACCAGAGGTTCCTAGTTGAGCTAGGAACAAAGCCCAAAGTTACTGAGTGATAGATATTGCTCTATGTCATAGAGCATTTTTCCTTCTCAGTGCGATAAAGGAGAGTGGCGAACACGTCCCTCATTCTGTAATACAATACAACCTTGCACCTAAATCTCTGGGCTCCTACTCTGCCATCTTTTCAACCTGACAGCATACAGCACTAACTTCTAGGTCACAGGGCCTAGGGATGCTGAATGGGATGTGTGTCTTGTACTGTCCAGCACCCTACTAGAAAACACCAGTTTATATTTACACAAGGAGAGTGGCGAACACGTCCCTCATTCTGTAATACAATACAACCTTGCACCTAAATCTCTGGGCTCCTACTCTGCCATCTTTTCAACCTGACAGCATACAGCACTAACTTCTAGGTCACAGGGCCTAGGGATGCTGAATGGGATGTGTGTCTTGTACTGTCCAGCACCCTACTAGAAAACACCAGTTTATATTTACACACTCACACATGTGAAACAGTTGTCTCCTTTAATTTTGTTGGAGTAATAGCATAATAATTCCTTTATCTCTATTGGAGCCTGCAGGCTTTGTTGGAATACAAACAAAAAAATAATATGAATGTAATAACAAACAATGCTATACAAGCTCTAGGAGACAACATCACTATGGGCAGGGAATTCCCTTGTTTCCACTCCCCATTACTCAACCAGCATTTGAATGAAAATATTCAGGAATTGGTTGGAAGTTTATTAATGGCTTTCTTCAGGGCACCTTTCACCTCCCTGTTCCTCAGGCTGTAGATGAGGGGGTTCAACATGGGGATCACCAGTGTGTAGAACAATGAGGCTATTTTGTCCGTGTCCATGGAATTGCTGGAGGTTGGCCGGAAAGACATAAAAATGAGGGTGCCTTGAAAAATGACCACCGCTGTCAAGTGGCAAGCGCAGGTGGAGAAGGCTTTGCGCCGGCCCTCGGCAGAGCGGATCTGCAGGATGGTGGAGATGATGAGGACATAGGAGAGGAGGATGGTCACAGTGATGATCACCACAGTGAAACACGTAGAAACAAACAGCACAGTCTCAGTGATGCGTGTGTCAGAGCAGGACAGCCCCATCACAAAGGGCATTTCACAGTAGAAATGCCTGATGATGTTGGAGCGACAGAATGACAGCTGAAAGGTACAACATGTGAGTATCATTGCATCCACCAACCCCACAGCACAAACTCCAGCCACCAGCTGGCCACAACGCTGCCTGGACATGGTGACCGTATAGAGCAGTGGGTTACAGATGGCCACATAACGGTCGTATGCCATCACAGCCAGTAAGAGACACTCAACATCTACACAAACAAGGAAGCAATACATTTGCACAGCACAAGCAATGTACGAAATGCTTTTCTTCTCAGTTAAGAAAGTCTGCAGCATTTTAGGGGCTATTACTGTAGAACAGCAGAGATCACAGAAAGACAAACTCCTGAGGAAAAAGTACATGGGGGTGTGTAGTTGTGGGTCAATTGTGATTAAGAAGATCATCCCCCCATTACAGACCAGGGTGGTAACATAAATTAGTAGGAACAACACAAACAGAAGAACTTGCAGTTCTGCACTGTCTGAGAGACCTGAGAGAATGAACTCACTCACCACCGAATGATTTCCTTCTTCCATCGCCTCGATATAGAGATCACGCAGCTACAGTGGGACATTAGATGGCTCGGGTAACATGTCTTTTCTCTCTAACCAATTAAGAGAAGAGAAATGGAGATCAGTTTCTTAATGAGCATTAATATAAGATTGGAGATGGGCTTAGTTTACAGAGTCAGAAGTTCACAGCTGATCATGCCAGTTGTTCTCTGAAATGCACACCCTGTACACACAGAATAATCACATCACAGACACAAACAGTCCTGATCACTAATAGAAGCCGCAAACAGTGTGATGGGATTAATATTCGGCTCATAGACTCATAGACTTTAAGGTCAGAAGGGACCATTATGATCATCTAGTCTGACCCCCTGCACAGTGCAGGCCACAGTATCTCACCCACCCCTCCTAGAATAATCCTCTCACCTATATCTCAGATATTGAAGCCTTCAAATACTTTGAAGACCCCAAGATGCAGAGAATCCTCTAGCTGTGATCTGTACCCCATGCTACAGAGGAAGGCAAAAAACCTCCAGGGTCTCTGCCAATCTACCCTGGAGGAAAATTCCTTCCCGACCCCAAATATGGCGATCAGTCAGACACCCAGAAAGTTCTCTATAGTAACTCCTATCATCCCTCCATTGACCTATTTCCCACTGATAATGAATGGTCAATTAGTTACCAAGATCATGTTATCTCATCAAACCATCCCCTTCATAAACCCATCTAGTTTAATCTTGAAACCAGATAGATCTTTTGCCCCCACTACTTCCCTTGGAAGGCCGTTCCAGAACTTCACTCCTCTAATGGTTAGAAACCTTCGTCTAATCTCAAGTCTAAACTTCCTACTAGCCAGCTTATATCCATTTGTTCTTGTGTCCACATTGGTATTAAACTTAAATAATTCCTCTCCCTCCCTGGTATTTATCCCTCTAATATATATAAAAAGTGCAATCACGTCCCCCCTCAGCCTTCTTTTGGTTAAAGTAAACAAGCCAAGCTCCTTGAGTCTCCTTTCATAAGACAGGTTTTCCATTCCTCGGATCATCCTAGTGGAGTGTGAGCAAACTTTTCACCCTCTTTGGGCACAAAGAGGCATGGCATGTGTGTTGCAGAAAAGCTTGTGTGCTGAGCTAATTAAGCTTTTTTTTTTTTTTTGCAACTGAAATGGCATTTACATTGTTCTGTAAAAAAAATCCTGAGAAATATTGGAAATCAGGGACTTCAGTGACTATCTAATTGCCAATATTTTTTCCAAATGCAAGGTGTTTCAATAGCTCAAGGTGGGCTGAGGCGTTTAGTGTTGTCGGTCGTGAATTCAGTATATGCTGATCACACCGGTGTCTGTATGAGTGTGTGACCGTGATGCAGAACAGTAGCACGTACCTGCTGTGGAAAGAGATGTGGTGTTTCCCCATCAATGAAAGTGCCAATTTGGAATGTACAGGAAATTTTATACCCGGATCTCTGATCCATGGGACATGCTCCCTGAAGTAACCAGGAATAGCTGATCTCAGAGAAGCACTACACCTAATTATGATGCTGAGTGAAGCAAAATCACCCTGGGTGCAACTCATTCCCTGGGGACTAATTTTCCTCCTGTGCTATTAAATGAGGCAATTTCTACCAGAGTTGCACGGTGCAACAGGGCGTGCATTTCATCTTGTTTTCAAAGTTCAACCCAGGGACTGTGTTGAGCTGCTTCACAAAGGCTTTGTTTGTGGCGATTGAAAGCTTTTGGCTGAAAACACAACAGATCCCCTCAGGAATACCACAGAGGTAACTCAGATACCAGAGTCCAATGTCGTCTGCCATTGGCCAAGGTCCCAGACTGGACCCCATCCCCCATGATGCATGATGGACTCTCCTCTTTCTGAACTGTCCTAGAAAATCACCAGTCTTAAAGCCAGAGTTTGAGGAGAGGGGGACCCTGTTTCTCCACTCCAGACTCCAACTAGCTTCGGCAGCTGGAGCAATAAGGGTCTCCTGCTGGTAGATACCAGAGAAAACCCCTCTTGAAGGAAGGAGAGTACCTGACACCTGTGGAGACCCAGACTACAGTCCTGGGTGTTCAGAATATCAAGGATGAACGGCAGCATCGAGAGGGCTGGGGAAGATCCTCACTGGCAGGAGGGCTGGCAGTCCCCATTGGGCTCGCAGCAAAGTGTGACTATACCCAAATATGAGCAGGGCATCGCAGAAGCTGTGGGCCCACTGGTAGGCCATAGCCTCCTGCCACCCAGTCCCTTCACCCTCCCCCAAGATGGCCCTAATGGTCTGAAGGGTGAGATGGAAATCTCCCCAGTACTGAAGGGTGAGAGCCACTTTGTTCTTGGAGCCGTGGATGTCTCCCAAGAAGTCACGCATCTGGCCCTCAGCATATCGAGTGTTGGGGCCTCAGGCTCCTGAATGTCTTTGGGGCAGCCCGCCCCACTCCGGGCCTCAAGACTGATTGACATAGGAAGGCAGGGACCCTGAAGTCCCTGCTAGGAAGATGGTAGTGGCAGTGGCGGAGGAAAAAAAGCCCCAGACCTGCTGGGAGCAGAAGAAACAAAAACCACGTAGTGGCAGTGGCGGAGGGAGAACAGCCCCAGACCTGCTGGGAGCAGAAGAAACAAAAACCACTTTCCGGGGGCCAATATCTGAACTGAATGTAGCAGCCTGGAGGGGAAGGGGAGCATTAATAGGGCAAGGGGAAAGTAAGTGGCCAGGGAGGAGATTGAGAAGAGGAGGAAGAGGAATTGGGGGGGTTAGGAAACAGATTCAGAGGAAGGGGTGGAAGAAGAGCAGGAAGAGGAGTGGGAAATTTGGTTGTGAGAGGAGCTGAGCAGGGAACAGGAGTGGGACAGGGGTTAGGAGCAGGAATAGGATCAGCAGCCTCAGCAGAAGAGATTCAGGGACGCGGTGCCTCCTTGCAGGGCAGGGGATCGATAGCAACGGTAAGGGAAGTTGGTGTCTCCCCAGCACCAGACCCCGGTGCCTCTGGGCATGCAGTACCAGAGGCCCCAGCACCAGGGGCGATGGAGAACAGTGGGAGCTCCCACCTGCTAGCAGCCCCCAAGGGTTCAGTGGCCATGGCCAAAGTGCTGACAATGGCCAGGCAGATGGTCTCACCCTGGGGCAACTCGGGGGCAGAGAGAGGGGAGGGTGGCATGTCAGAAGGAGAGGACAGTTGTCGTCCTTTCTGGACAAGGTGATGCCCTCTCAGGTAGTCGGGGTCAAACCTAGGGCCTTAACCTCCTGCGAGAGGAAAGCAAGGCCACGGCCCACCACCACGTGGTCACACTTGTCGGTGGGGGCATCTGCATGGCTTCCCCAAGCAGGCACTCTGGGAAAGAGGCATTTACCCCCTCTGCAACCTCCGTGGTCACCTCAGCTGCCCCACAGCGCTGTGAAGTGTCCGGGGGCTCAGAGGGAGAGCTGGCTCCAAAGTCCACCCCTAAAGGTATGAGGAGGTTTTCCTCCCACTCAGTGGGTGGGGTGAAATGCCAGGGCACGGTTGCAGCGTTTCCCTATGACAAGCTCCCAGGCCTCGCAGGAAGCCTGTAGTGCAAAGGAAGGGAGCAAGGGGGAGAAGGAAAGGGAGGAAGAAGGTTCACGCCCCCCAGGCTGGAAGCAGGGTGAGAAGGCAGTGATACAAATAGGGGGAAGGGGGAATAAAGGAACAAGAGGTGCAACACCCAGCACAGGACGGAAAACCCGGCTTCTCCGGCTGCACTGGGGACATGAGGGGATAAATTATTTAAAGAACATGGAGGAAGTGAAATGGTGTGTGGCGGGAGAGTAACTAAAACAGAAGGGGAGGCTCAGGTGCCAAACAAAGGAACAGAGGGGGCATGGGCACACAGGAAGGGGGAAGTGGTGGAGAGGGAGGGCAGGCGGGGAGGAGGTACCTGCTCAAGAAAGTGGGACAGAGAGAACGAGACACTGCTGGGAGGAAGGAGACCAAGTGAGCCCACAGGTGCCTCAGTGGCAGGCCCACAGCTCCCACGGCAGGACCCAGCAGAGCAAATGAAAGGCCGGGAGGCAGGCTGTGGGGCCAAGGGATGCAAAGGACTCCTGCAACAACTCAGGCTGGGGAGGGAGCACCAGCAGAAATGCAGGGGAAACTACCTCCCAGTGCTCCACGAGAGCTGAGCCAGCCACCACCTAGGAATCCAGATGGAAGGGCCCCTTAAAAACTCCCACCCAACACCTTCACCACAGAGCAAGCTGTGGGGAGAAAGGAGCCGAGGAGCTGACCTAAAGCAGTCCCCTTATCTGCTCTGTCCCAGGGGGAGCAGCAGCAGCAGGGAAGGTGGAGTCCAGGCCTGCAGCAGTGAAGAAGAAAGGAGCCAGGTAAACCCTCAAGAAGATGGAAGAGGAAGTCTAGAGGGAGCTATTTTGGAGGGGTTGTTTGGGGAAGTGGCCCAGGGAAAAACCTGCCAAGTCAGAAAGAAAAACCACCATTGCTGCTGCTGCTAATTTAGGGACCTGGACTGCAACCTGGGATGGTGGGCTGAACTGGGTACCCCCAAACCTTCCCCCATGCCAACATTGAGCCTGTCCCAAGAATGCAGACCAGGACTATCAAGAGGTTTTCACCTCTAAACCATAGAGTAGCCTATGGTGAGTATGGATCACTCAGCTGTGGATACTGCCTCCCGTAGAGAGAAAGGAGTAGTGTACAGGGCCACAGCGAGTCTCTGAGGTTCATATTATCTGCCGGTAACGTGAGACCCGCAGGGTACATCCAGAACTTTGCCACAATCCATAATCAAAACTCCCTAACAAGTCACCATGGAGATCAGCTTCAGCTCCATGACACGTCATCAATGTCATATCTCTGAGAACCCTGTGAGCTTTACTCTATTCATTGTCACAACTTCTATCAGAGGGAAAGTAGACATCTTGATTTTAGGTTGCACAGAGGCCCCTCTTTGAGCTAGGAACAAAGCCCAAAGTTAGGGAGTGATAGATAGTGCTTTACGTCATAGAGCATTTTTCCTTCTTAGTGCAATAGAGGAACAGGGATGCCAAACCTA